TGGAAGCTCAAGAGTACAGGTCTTGAGCAAGACTTCATGAAGAAATGGATGAATGAGGTCAGGTCTGCATGTGTAAGTTGTGAGTATCCGTTGCTAACATTTTCATACTGGAGTTTGTTCTCTAGTGCATCCTTGGGCTACAGACTACACAGCCTAAACAACTGCAGTAAGCCTTCATGTGAAATCAGAGCAGAAGAGAACCAGGCTTTCTCTTTTACTCTTAGGCTGAGACTTAGATTTGGCCTTCTGAGAGTGTCTTACTTGTAAACTCAGAAAATGAAGTCATCCGAGTCTCTATGCCTGCCTTTCCTTTTCCTTAGCTGTGGTCCGAGTGTGCAGATAACAGCAGCCAAGCTTGGTCCAGAGAGAACCAGAAGAGACTTTTGCCAGGGGTTTATTTTCTTGGACTATAGAGCAGAAGCAAGGCGGGGTGCTTTTCCTATCTGTTCCTCATCTGACTAGAAGCCTAAAAATGCTTTAGCAGCTAGATCTGGGACTGGCTCTTCCGGTGCGGATGGGAACTGCTCTGCCCCGCCTTGCCCTGCCTGGTTAAGGAAGCTCATGTTTGCAAGTCAGACAGCAGAGGGCATGGATGATTTTAGACAAAAGGAAACTGTCTGAAACCCAATGTCTGCCATCCACTGTTTTTCTTCTGTTCAGTGAATGGGGGTGACTGAAATTGATTCAGTGGTGAAACTGCATGGGCTACATTGTCCTTCCCTGTAGTGAGTTTACTATGGCCGTAGGGCAGATAGCAGGATGTTGCCTTCTGTGAGCACTATAGTGCTCTTAAACAGTCCCAAACCTCCCTTACCCTGTCCCTTTAGTTCATCCTCCTTAGCCTCCCCATTCTCCACTTAGTAAACAGTCCCAAGTGGATATAATTGTTCTCCATTTTCTCTGGAAGTACAGGGTTGTTTGTTTTTTTTTTCATAATTGTTACTTGATGAAAGCCATTGATTTTTTTTTTTTTTTCCTTCCCCTCAGCCTTGGGAAAGTTGGAGCTTTAGACTGTGGTGTGAGTGAGGTTATGCACTGTATCTCAGTTACCTTGTGAAGCTGCAATATGCATGGCCCTTCATTCACTTGCTCCTGGGGCTCTGTCTGGGGATGTGGCCTCCCCTCATCTGTATATCGGAAATGATAGGCAGGCTGATTTTGTATCCGAGCTATTTGGTCTAGGCTCAGGTAGGTAGGTGGGCCTCTTTCAGGCCAGGTCATGGCAACTATTTAGCTCAGGCTGCTGTAGTTTTCACACTCTGCTCCTGTGTACTCCTTGAGCCACTGCTTTCTTTCCTCCCAAACCAGGTAAACTGTCTTGAGCCCCATCCTCACCTACCTGTCTTGGCAACCAGTGGCCTGGACCATGATGTGAAGATCTGGGCACCCACAGCTGAAGCGTCCACTGAGCTGACAGGGTTAAAGGACGTAAGTGAATGGCTGAAGGCATTCATTTGTAGAAACAAATGTGTAACTGTCACAGGAAGAACAGTTCTTTAAAGTCATTCTCTAACAGCTCTTCTGCTTCCTCTCACTGCCTCTGTGGAGACAGTCCTGAGCCAGAGAACAGCTCTGAAGTGCTTCTAGATAGTAGGTAGGAAGCATCCATAGGAAAAAACTGTTTTATGGTAGAATGTCCAGCCTTGCCAGTGACTGGCCTTCGACATCCTTTCCGAATCTAGGGCTACATTAGCTTAATGGTATCAGAAGGAATGTTTTATTGGAATTAAAGACACAGTCTGCTTATCCCACCCCATCCCCTCCCCTACAGTGCTGGGGATCGTACTCAGTCTTGCACATGCACTACCACTGAGCTACAATCTAGCTAGCCCCTTGGTTTTCAGAGACAAGCTTTTTTTTTTTTTTTTTTTTTGGTTTTTTGAGACAGAGTTTCTCTGTAGCTTTGGAGCCTGTCTTGGAGCTAGCTCTGTAGACCAGGCTGTCCTTGAACTCACAGAGATCTGCCTGTCTCCCAAGTGCTGGGATTAAAGGTGCACGCCATCACCGCCAGAGACAAGCTTTTAATGAGTAGCTCAGGCTTGGTCTTGAATTTGATCCTCCTATCTCCACCTTCCAGTGCTGGGTTATAGTCATGCAAACAGCAGCGCCAGTCTTGTTAATCAAGCCTGGGTTTCTATTAATTATTATCCCTTCTCCTAACTCTTTTGGGTTCCAGGTGATAAAGAAGAACAAGCGAGAACGGGATGAAGATAGCTTACATCACACTGACTTGTTTGATAGTCACATGCTTTGGTTTCTTATGCATCACCTGAGACAGAGACGTCATCATCGGGTAAGCCTTCATCGGGTCAGTATTAGTTGGAAGTGAGTTCCCAAGGATTATGTTCCTTTGAAGAAGCCTAAGCACACTTCCTTACTATATTAAAGAGGAATGGCATGGTCTCAGTTGGGTGTCTCATCCACTGGCCTTTTATCCCTATTAGACCAACTAGCACCTTATATGCAGAGGCTTATGGGTGGGAGGGGTAGAGAAGAAATGATTGCTCTGGGTGACCTGTGTTAACTTCATGCTAAAAGAGGTCTAGAGCAGGGTTCAGACAATGAAGCTTTATTGAAAACGCAGCCCTACTTGTTCTCTCTACTATCTGTGGCTGCTTTCATGTTACAGAGGCAGAGCTGAAAAGAGACCATATGCCCACAAATATTTACAGTCTGGCCTTTTAAGAAAAATTCTGAGCCAGGCACAGTAGTAGCTACTGGGGAGGCCAACCTAGGACGATTGGGAGTAACAGGTCGCACTAGGTTATTTAATTTAAAAAAAAAAAAATTCTAGATCTAAGGTCTTGTCTTTGATCCAGGGGACATTACTAACAAGGATTTCCCATCCTACAGCGCTGGCGAGAACCTGGGGTTGGGGCCACAGATGCGGACTCTGATGAGTCTCCCAGCTCCTCAGACACATCGGACGAGGAGGAGGGCCCTGACCGGGTGCAGTGCATGCCATCCTGAGGCCCCAAACTTAGGAGGGATGGGCTGGGGCTGCCAACCCGATCCTGCCTGGGCAAGTCTTTTTCAATCCCAGGCCCTTATATTCATCAGAAATGCACTTTGGACTTTAAGATATCTGAGAAGGACAGACCACAGGAGAGTGAGCCAGCAGAGAGCCCCTAGGAGTGAGAGACGGCCGGTATGAGCTTCCATGGAAAGGTGCAAAGGACTCAACAGAAACAGGCCTCTCCCTGAAGCCTTTGTTTAGGGGAGAGAAACAAAGCCTTTTGTTAAACTGGCTTGGATAGGAAATGGGGCTTATTTTTCTTTAACCTCCCTTGTTTCTTTTGTGGGGGGTGGGGGAAGGACTGGCTGGTCAGTACCAAGGGGCCAGAGAAGAGGGTAGGAATGCCACTCTCTTTGGTTTAGGTTTTTCACTTTTTTTCCCCCCTCCTTTTTTTTTTTTTTTTTTTAAAGAAGTCTGAACAGTTCCATTGTTTTTTGCCCCTGAGCAAACACATCCCAGGACTGTTTTATTTTTTTCTTTTTTCTGGGAAATCTTTAAACGTCCCTAACTATCCCAGTACTCTTTTCTTCCCTTTCCACTGTACTTATTCTCTGTACTTATCACAGTGTGTACACTTGACTAGGTATCCTCCATTTTGTCATCTTCATCCCAGCACCCTCTAAATGGGGGTCTGTGATGGAGTTTGTGGAGAAGTGGGGTGGGGGCATGAGGTGGAAAAAAACAGGAAGAGTTACCTCTGTTTTGTTTTGAATTGTTCAGTGGCAGCAATTTCCCTGTCCCTATCACTGTTAGAGGCCTAATTTTATATCTATAAATATATTAAAAAGCAAGTTAAACTTGGATGTATCAAGTTAAAATTATTGTCAAAAGTTTAAATACCTATATATTCTCTATGAATACAATGCAATAAAGGGACTTAAAGGAAGAATGAGCGAGAGTGATGATATAGAGGGGACACATGCGGCCAGTTTCCATTTATATATGGCTGTCAGAGCCTGGGGCTTACCTTTAGTTCTTACAAGGCTCAAAAATGCAAGAAAATTTAGCTGTGCCCTTCTCTGCCTTGGTGCAGCGGTATGAAAAAACAAATTCCTCTCAACCTTGCCTCAGGTCTCCTAATTCCCTTAAGTCTTGTAAGGGATCCCAAGATTGCTCCTCTCATTGGAGGCTGGCCTGTCTTTAAAACATGGGCCGAAGTGTGACTTCCGAGGGCACCACTGCTATAGGCCTTACCCTGGATCTGTGGATGACAGAAAGCACACTCGACCCCTGGCCTTTAGCTGCTTGATTCTTTAAGCCATTCAACTCCATACCAGCTCCCTTCTTAATGGAAAGATGAAGGGAAAACTTCCTGTGAATTGAGGGACAAGCCAGTAATTGGAAGGTTATTCTGGTGACTGGGGTGTAGACACCCGTCTTAACCATTGGCCATTGAGTGTTAAAGTCCCTGTTGAATTCTTGCCCTAAATGCTTTTGCTGCTATTTCTTTGCCCCTAGTTTTCACAAGGTTCAATCAGGAATCCTGTATCATGGGTCGGTTCAATTTGACCAAACTGGGCCAGGATGAAGGGGGAAAGAGCCTCCTGCCCCTTTCCTAGCAGCTCAGACCAGATCCAGTACTGTACTTCCTGAGGCAGGGAGTGGAGGAAGCTAGTACTCTCATGTCCTCACTGCTAGCGGGAGTATGAGGTGGGCTTAAAACCATGCACTCTGGAATTTGTTGTATTTTCTCTCAGTAAAGCTTTTCCCCCCTCGACTACTGCTTTGTGTGGTATGTGGTCCATCTATTTGTGACAGAGAACTTTGGTTCCTTCCAGTATAAATGCTTGATTCTGCCAAAGTCCCTGTTTCTAATGCTTGAGCTACAGAAAAATGTTTTAGTGGGATGGGCCTGTTTATGCCAGTGCCCTTGATTCATACTGAAGTGAATGATAATAGGGAAAACATGGCTACATGTCCCCTCCCAGTCATTCAGACGTTTCCCAACTCTTAATGACCCACAGAAATTCTAGAACCAGTCAGGTACAGTACAGTCAGTCACCTTTATTCCAGGGTTAGAACAAGGCCGTGCATGCTGCAGACAGGAGCACAGGCTAGGGGCAACCTCACGGCAGCACAAGGATAGCAGGGTAGGTCAGTCTATTAGGGCAGGTTAGTCTATTTAAAGTTTATTTTTTTGCCTTACAGAGAAACTGCTGAAAAGCACCCTCTCTCTTCTCCCGTTTCTCCCATAAATAAGGAAAGCTCCGTCTCACTCTCATACCATCCCAGATGGAAGGATGGTTTATGCTTACTTCCTTTCTCCCAGCTGTACAAGTCTCTATTTTCTTAAAGGAGAAGCCAGACAGGACTAGGGAGACTTAGGAAAGACCTTTAAGGCAAAACTGGAGTCTTGGAGGTGTGTGTGTTAAGGCAGGTGTCTGCAGCAGTGGCCAGAGGGGATGGGCAGACTGGGCTGGGCTAGGAGTTGAATGCACTAGCTGGCCAGTCTGGCTTCTTCCTCTTCTGACAGCCTGGCCTCCCCTCCTGTGAAGCTTTGCTCCCACATCCTAGAAGCTCCTACCTTCAACTTCCTCTAAATAGTCTCTGAGCTCACATGTAAATTTAATGTTTGCTGTGGTTGGTTTAAATGCTTTCTTTTCCATTTGGGCTATGTAACAATTTGGCTCTGTCACTCCCTTCACTGTGACAATCCCCTCCCACTCCTGCTCTGGCCTAGACAATAAGTTAATGCCAAAAACCACAAAAAAAGGGCAGACATGGCAGTGCGGGTTTAATATACATATATGTAGAATATATATGTACACACAGTTAGCACGGTCAAGATGGGGAAGGGCATCTTGGGACAGGTAAGAGGCTGGGTTCACTCACTGTACTCTGTGACTTGGCGGCATCCACAAACCCAAATGAGAAAGGTTACCAAGTCCCTTCCTGGATTGAATTAGGGTGGTAATCAGCGCAAAGGAAACCACTGTAATTAACTCCTTTTTTGGGGTATTCCAGAATGTGAAGGCTACCTACAATATCCATATTGGGACCCTTAGGTGTGGGCAGGTTGAGGTTAAAACCTACAGATCTCATTCCCCAACCTCCTTAGGCTCAGGGTCAGTATATTCAACAGTCTCTATTTAGGAATAAAGGAGTAGAAAGTGGGCCTGTCTCTGCCTGCATCCCTATCTCAGGCTCAGTAGTGCTTGGTCCCAGCATAGTCTCTCCAGAGCAGAAGTTGGGGACATCAAATGCTGGCTTTTCCATGGGGTTTGATTTTGGGGGGCGGCCAGGAAAGGATCTAGTGGTCTTCTCATTAAGATTTCTGGCTCATACCCATCCCAGGCCCATGACAAGGGCATAAAAGAGGGCCTACTGGCGCTCAGGACTTCAGCCTAAGGAACAGCAGGAAGCTGGACTCCAGCCAGTCCAGCAGAGATTTACAAACACTGAATTCTGGCTTTGCTTTCCCCTTCCAGGTAGAGGTTGAGTTGCCTCTTACCTTCCTTCCCCATTGGTTTTCTTTAGCTCTAACCATCTCTCCCATACCTCATCTTTACCTTAACTCCTCAGTGCAGGAAAATGCAGGTCCTTTCTGCTTCCATACTTTAAAGATGTGGGGGAAGAGTGGAGGAAAGGGGAGGAGGAGGAATGTGCCGATTTCTATTTACATAGAAATAGCTTCCACCTCCCCTATAGTGGGGAAATTAAGCCCCCCCTCCCCTGACTCCAGTCCCCTCATGAGGAGGAACTAGATGAGCTAGACAGACAGACAGCCAGAGCGTGTGAACACGCACACACACGCGCAAAGTAAGGGGGTTAGGACCAAGTTAGTAAGTGGGTACAGGGCAGGGGGAGTGCCCTAGCCCCTCCCGGTGAGGATGGGGAAGGGAGTGGTCTGATGAAGATCAACCTTCCTCTTCTTCCTCCCCCTTGCTCAAGCCTTCTTTGGTGGGGGAGCCAATTTGATGATTTCTTCCTCAGAGGGCTGCCGGATAATGTCTGGAAAAGCAAAGATGGGTGTGTCCAGGGATAGAAGTTATCCAGGCAGGCCCATTGAGCATCCATCTCCACTCCCCAAATTCAGGGTATTCTCCACTCTTAAGAATATAGTCAGAGAAGAAAAGCAGCAGTGTAGCTATGCCCAAGGCATGGCCTGTTACCTTTGTACTTCTTGGCACTGGGGATACGGGTTAGCTTGGTGTCCAGCTCATCCTCTTCCGAGATCTTCAGCACGCGGGTTCTGTAGTCGACCACCATAGTGAGTAGGTCAGGACGACGGGATATCTCAAAGATGTGCTCAATGTAGGAGAGGTTGTCTGGAGGAAGGCAGCTTGAGTCAGAACTTGGCGACAGAGGTCAGCTTCTACCCTGTCAAACTGGTATTCTTGAACCAACACTGACTGCTTACATTGGTTACTTGGAGGGGACAACAGTGAAAGAAGGGGGTGCTAAGCCAGTAAAAGGAAGCTTGCGGCAGCCATGCAATTCTGAGGACTGATCTAGGTAGGACAGGTGTCAATGAAAGTTTCTAGGGCATAAATGGGAAATAATGACTAGATATCAAGTCCATCCTTGGGAAGGGACAATAGAAAAACTGCCTTCAAAATTAGCCCACACCCATTCTGTCCTTTTTCCATTTTCTTTTCAAATGAGTATCGGAATTTGAGACACCACATGTGGAAAAGGATGAGATTTAGAGCCAATCAAAAATGTTCTGTGTCCAGTAAGAAAAGCTACTTAGAGAAAGCACTGACAAAGACAGGGCGGTTTGTGAAGATTGTGTATGCCTCCTGCCCTGATTGCTGCAATAGTCTTGCAGTCCTCCTTCAGTGTCCCTCCCTGCCATCTATCATACTAGAGCCAGAAGAGTTCATACAAAGGACTCTGACTTCCCTTTCAGACCCATCTAACTCAAGATTTACATTCTCAGGTAATCAGAACCAATCTTTTTAAGTCCAGCTAAGGTTCTCTGGGTTCTGCTTTAGGAATCCCACTTGCCTTGGGGGGATGGTCTATTATTATCATTGTGTATGAGTGTGGCCAAAGTACATGGAGGTCAGAGGACAACTTTGAGGAGTTGGTTCCCTCTTTGACTGTGAGCCCTGGGCTCTTGGTGGGCACGCATGGCAAGTGCTTTTACCTGTTACTCTGCCGGCACTTGAGACGGCCTCACACATTTCTCCCTGCAAGCCCCAGCTGCGTGTTACTGCTCTAATCAGTGCCTCCCTCCTACTGTTAAAAAGCAGCAGCCTCTAAAAGTAGGTAAGAAAACATTAGAACTATGGCTTTAAGTTTTACCACAATAGCACAGGAGTATCAAAAAACATTTTGTACTAAAAAGGGCCACAAAGGAAGCATGTCTCTAATGATTACTGCCCTAGAACCCTGTCTGTCTCTTAAGAGTGTATCATTTACCCTGCCCCGTCATAAGGTTTCACTTTGTGTAAGAGGCTTGTGTTAGTTTGTTTCTATTTGCTGAATGAACAGAGCCCCCACAACCTTTGTCCAGCTTGTTGTGGCTCTCCAGGAAGCTAAACCAGGCACTGCCTGTAGTGATCTCCTCACTCTTCTCACTGGGGATGTCCTCCTTGCAGGCTGACTTGAGCTGTTCCAGATCTTCAAGGGTGATGTTGTTGGTCAGGTCCTGAAGGAGAGTCCCGTACTCTGCCATGACTGGAAGTCAGGGTAATAAAGGGAGAGAAAGCTGAACTTAGTGTATGGGGTTCACTTGCTGCCAGCCCATCCCCAGCAGCACGCACACACGAGAGCACTTTTGTCCCGCCAGGATGGTATGTACCTAAAATGTGAAGGTTCAGGAGAGCAGATCTGGAGGGAGAAAAGGAAAACCTCTGACATACAAGAAGAAACTTAGGAAAGCTAGGAGCCATCATGGAGTCTAGAGTGACAGGCCACACACACCCCATACACAATCTTTTTCTTTTTTCCCTCCCTTAACAGTAACCCTGGCAACAGCTCCCCTGCCTGAGAAGGCGGTTGCCATGGCAACATTCTCCAGACTTTCTTGCGGTCTCCCTCCCAATTGCCCCACCTACCTACAACTCCTCCCCCTGTCACAGGCTTGCCTAGCATTGAGACACTAAAAGGTTTGGTTGAAGCCCCGCGCATTCCATCTTCCGTTCTTCCCCAGAAGCAAAGGGTTCCTCATTTCAACTTCCCACCACCCCGCCAATGACTCATTTTGGATGGATGCCTAATTACTTGGTCTGATGGATCCCTGTCCCCCCATGCTTACCCCTGCATTAGATTATTAGGTCTTAAAGTAGCAGGGAGCAGTGGGCCACCCCCACCTTTGTGAAGCCCATTTTCTCCCTTTATAGTTTACTGGGCCCCAACCCAGCCCTTCTAGCCTTTGTGCTCTGCCTGCAGCCCCCGCGCCCAAGAATACCAAGCGGCTGGCCCTGGCCCCTTGCCCGGTTCCCAGGCAGGCTGGGTGATGGGGGAGGGGAGTTTGGATGTAGCTTTCAGAAATCTGGCAGGAAGGGGGCTGCTAACCTTTTATCAGCATCCTCTGATGCTACCTCCAACCTGGCCGCCTACAGGCAAGGCTAAACCTGCCATTGGCCTCCATACCTCTCATGATCCTCAGTTGAGGAAGGGAGCACTCAAGGACACCCTTCACTAAAATAGGGACAATAGCTAAAATAGAAAGGTCAGACCTGGGGCTGGTGAGATGGCTCAGTGATTAAGGGCACTGGCGGTTCCTCTAGAGGACCTAGGTTCAATTCCCAGCACCCACATGGCAACTCAAAACGGCAACAACTCCTGTTCCAGGGGATCCAAAACTCTCACCCAGACATATAAGCAGGCAAAACACCAATGTATATTTTTAAAAAAAAAGGTCAGACCTTAGAATGAACTTTATAGATTTGATAAAATGTAAAACTCCAGTGGTATGCTAAGTGACTGAGCATAGTGACCTATGCCAACATTTGGCAGTCTAAGGCAGAATTGCTGCAAGTTTAAAGTCATCCTGAACTACATAGCAAAACCTTATTTCAAGTAAGGAACTGATTTTTGCAATGGAGTATATTTTTATGTTTGGAAAATTAAAGCATTAAAAAAGTGACTACATAAACATTCTGTGGCTAGACCAAAAGGTGGGCAAGAAATTGTCTGGCCTTGGACCTGACCAGAGCTGCCCATGCATCACCCAATACTGACCTGAAACTTGTAGATCAAAGGAGCAGGTTGATAAACCTGTTTTGTTTCTAGCCTCTCTTGCAAGGGAACTGAGGCAGAGCCATGGACATTGCATAAGTATGGGCCCAGAAGACCTTATTCTCAGCCCCCTACTTGGACCAGAATAAACTCAGAATAATACTTTACCTCGGTGGCAGGCACCGTGACACAAACAGACAATAAGCCAGACAGCAGGGCTAGCACGATCCGTGGAAGAATTGGTCAGAAACACTTTTACTTGCACACCAGGTGCCACCAGACAGAAGGGCCCAGCGGTGGTCCTACCAGGCAGGGCCAGGGACAATGCTCTCTGACTGTCAGCACCAGGAACCATCTCTGCCTTGAAATCTAGGTCACATAGCAGCAAGCTGGAGCCCAGCCCCGCCTCCACTGATAATCCTAGGGCAGAAAAGGGGGTGTGGGGGAGGGGCTGGAAGAGTAGCATAGGATGGAGACCAGAAGACCCTGCCCCAAAGAAGGCATCAGGACCAAAGTCTCAGTGGAAAAGGGGTCATACTGCCTTGATGTCACGGGGAAGAGGAGTTTGTAAATACGAGAGCTGCTGTAGGAGGAACGTGTGTAGCTGTGTGTGACTCGGGAGGAGTGAAGATTTAGGGCTCTGGATCTAAAACACAGATCTGCCAGGGAGGTAGGCGGGAAGGGATTAATGTGTGTAACATACACACCCACAAAGGTTGGGGGCAGCGGCTAGGAGCTTTCCAAGAGTAATAGATACAAGGAGGCCCTTAAGAGGAATGTGGGTAGGGATATATAAGGTGGCTAGGGAGAGACTGTACAGACATGTTTGCACGCACTTGAGTTTTCCTAGGGGAAAACAGGTATATGGCAGAGTGGGTGTTCTGGTAACTAGCTGTGAGCTTCTGGGGGACGTATGTTTGTGTTAGAACCGGCTGAGAGTATGCAAGAAAGTGCAGACTCCAATCCAGAGGGGTGAGGAAACCCACAATGTGACAGGAGAGCTGGCCTTGGGAAAGGCTGTGCATGAGGAATTCAGTGGATGTGTGTGTGTGGGGGGGGGGGGGGACGGGACGCTAGGCAGAGTCCACAAGGCTGTAGCCTCCACTCAGCTGTTACCATAGCAACCTCTGTTCAGAGTTAACCCCCCCCCCCCATCATCAGGACAATGACACCACCAATGGGAAGAGTATGGAGAGGGCTAAGGGACAGAAAAGAGGACTAGGGTCTCTTGAGGAAGCAGAGTAAGGAGAGTCTGAAGTTGCTATTTGCCCATGGCAGGTGTGACAGGCAAAAAGCAGGGCAGTTAGGGAACTTTTTAAGGGTACAGACAGGAGGACTCTCCCCTACATGACTTTTGGGTTTCACTAATCAGCTATTACCCCTGGCTGGTCAGTCTGGTAGGGCTTGGCAGAGCTTGCCTCTTTCATCCTCACCAAAGATTGAGAATTCGTAAGGGCCTATCAAGAAGTCTGCCTTCCTGGCTCTGGAAATTCTCATCTCTGGAGCAGCACAGGGGCCGTCTCAGGAGCGCCGGGTGGAGGCCACTCTTGGGACAGGATACCAGGACAGGAACTGGAGCTCAGGCTGCAGGAAGTCAGTTCCCTTCCCTCTCGTCTCATTCTGTATTCTGCTCATTGCTTCCTCACACCTTCCTTCCTTCCTTCCTTCCTCCCTACCTCTCCGAAAGTGGCTCTAGGCAGAGCCCTGACGACTGAGGGTGCAGGAGAAAGGGGCCTTTATGTGCGGATTGGGAAGATAGCATTAGACAAGGAAGTCGTGTGTTGCTCAGAGAAGCCTCGCAAATGGACAAGCACCTGTAGTGGAGGTGCAGCACCAGAATTACTTCTGAGCATTCTGACACTAATCTGTGGCCGCTTATCCCCTTTCCCCAGCATTTGGTTCCACAGAGGAAATTTAAAAAGGAAGCCTAAGGATTAGATTTTACCCCTTCCTCCACATCTGTTACAGCTGCTGGCCGTTGAGGGGAGGGGCCATCCTGTGCAGATGCAAGGACCTGAAGGTCCCTTTAATAGGCAGGAGGGGATTCCTAGGCACTCACTCAAGTCAGTTGGTCTTGTCTGGAACTGGAAGCTGGAGGAAGTAATCAACGGAAACAGGTGGGAAGGGAGGGTGCTAGGGTTGGAGCCATTGTGATGTAAGTGATGTCTGGGCCCCAAATCCAGGCAGTTTCTTTCTTTGGGTATCTTAGCTGAGTTCTTCCCCTAACTTTTTTGTCTAGCTTTGGATAGCTCGGCCACCCTTCTCCCTGTAACAAACAGTTCCAGGTCAGCCTGGGAGGACGGCTCTAAAATGTTCACCTAGGAAGAAAAACAGGTTGCCTCTGGGACTGCAAAGGGCCATGCCCAAGATGGAGGTGGCCAAAGATAGCTGGCATTGGATTAGGCAGGGCAGAAGAGGGCTTCACGACTGTGAACAGGGAATGGACCCTGTGGCTCTCCCTCTAGACTGACTGTTTATGTCTTTCGCAGCTTTGTCCCTTCTCATCTATTTCCTTTCTCCTTCGTCAGTTTTGGTTTCTTTTTCCACCTCCTTCAGCTACCTTTTTTAGCCCCACTTTGGAGGACCAGGCAAGCACTCTCCCACTGAGCTAAGTTCCCAACCCCCTTTTACTCTTTCCACGGGCACTCATACCTTCCATCTCTCCCGATGCACTCATCCCATTTGCAGATAGCCATGGACACATTTGAATTTCATGAGACTCAGAGTCCCCACCCAAATACTCAGGGCTACCATAAGGAGGAGATCCGCTTCCCCACTGAAAAGGAAAAAGGTTGACAGGAGGGACTATATGATGGTTGGCTGCTGCCTAGCTAGTGAGGAAGACTAGCTGGACTATCTTCACATTGTACGTGAAGATCTGTGTGTGAGGTCGTGTGAGTCTGTGACCTTATGTATGAAGTATATGTATGTACACCTGCTGAGCACAGGTGTCGTATAAGTAGTAGGCAACCGGAGAAGCTGGCAGCCTAGGGCATGCTGGCAGTTTCCTCATTGGAGTGTTTAACCGCAAAGGGAAGAGCAATTAACACTAATCGCTCATCCAGCCTGGGGGCCAGACACAACCTCGAGAAACAAGACACAAATGTTCACGTGTTCCTTCTAACTCCCTGCTTTCTTCACCCTTCCTAACTTCTGGTCCTCTTTAGCCTACTCTCCAGCATTCTCCGGTTCCTCTGGGCACCCTTCTCTCTCCCTTCCTCTCCACGGTTCACTCTGGATCTATCCCTTTTTCCATGTCTACCTTCTCACACATTCCTCTCTCCTCTCTCTCTCTCTCTCTCTCTCTCTCTCTCTCTCTCTCGTTCTCTTTCCCCACCCTCCCTCTAACTTGGGTTCCTTCCGTGGCTGACTCATTCTTTTCACCCTCTCCCTTGCTTCTGCTCCCTCCTCCATCCTTTGGCCACACTGATGCCCAGAATCTAGCCACTCCCAGGTACTCCATGCTCTAAACGGGCAGTCAGCAAGAAAGGTCACAGGAAGCCCCTCACCCAGGTGAGAGCACAGGCTCACCAGTCTTTGAGGTATTGTCTGCTAAAGCTGTCCATAAAATCTAGGTGCGTTTGTGGACAGCGGCCGTTTACATCCACTACTCAACATTCCTCTTAAGAGAGGGTATCTTCGAGTCGCCGGTCACGGAGACTCCACACGGAAGGCAATGGGTTGTGGTGGGTGGGTGTATGCGTAGTGCAAGGATGTTGTGATTTGGTTTGTATGAGAGGATGTGTGTAAGTCACATGGGTGTGTGTCACCGTGTGGTTGGCTTTTTTCCTTAAAGGTGTGTTGTGTCCCTGTCGGGTTTGACACTGATTTTTTTTTTAAATTAGGGTCTTTACGTAGTCTACATCATTCCTCTGCTCCCGCAGCTCCTACCTCCTTCCCTCCCGGCAAGCTTCCACCAATCTCACTCTCCCCAGACGCAGTAGGCTGGGTGTGAGAGCACACCTACCAGCTGCCTGCTGCCTGAGGAGCTGATGCTGGGCTGAGCTGAGCCCGGAGACCGCCTGCAGAGGCGAGTCCGAAGCAACAGCGAGGAGGGAGGGGCGGGAGCTGGCCTGGCCAGGCCGGCTGGGCGGGAAGCAGGCTACATCCTAATCCCCAGGCCCCATAGGACTCCCAAACTGCTGTTCAGCGCGGAATGGGCAGACGAAGCCACTCTGCCTGCAGCACAATCCAGACTCTGAATACACCGGCATAAACCCCACAGGGCCTGACACTATGGACCTGTCTGAATCCTCACGCTCCCCTATTTATCCCCCGGGTTCAGAATTGTGACCTCTCTAGACCCAGACCCCCAATCTACCTCCACCCCACGACACATCTCCCCTTTGCCCCTCTCACCGCCTCAGGAGCTGAGCGCTCAGGGTGCGGGCACTCGTGGGTCCCCGGTTCCTAAGCAGCGTATGGAGCCTGCTCCTTGGCTCCTGCCGCCGCTGCCGCCGCTCCTGCCGCCGCCGCCTCTTCCGCCCGTGGAGCAGAGCCTGAGCCCAGCACCGCCTCACCCCACCCGGCTGGCCGGTGATGTCAGAGCCGGGGAGGGGCGGGGGGCGGGGAGCGGCGAGAGAAGGGGGAGGGGAGGCAGGAGGGGGACATGGACTGTGGGCTGGGGTTCTGGAAGACTCCTAGATGCAGACAGCACTGGACTGGAGTATGGACTCTGCCTCTTCCACTTCAACTGTGGAACGGTCCTCAGATTAATTTGTCCACAGTAGGTTGCTTTTCTGCCCTTTGACTTTTGGATGATCACGGTGGCTAGGACCCCTGGAAAGCGGAAGAAATTGGATTGGGGGTTTTGGAAGGCCTGTGACCTCTGGGTTCTCTTGCTTTAGTATTTGGAAAAGCCTCCTTTCTGGCCTTATAGGTCATAGGAGCAGTAGAAAATGACCAAGTTTATCCATGCTAGGAATAGAAATGGGGATGGGGGGTGGGGAGGAGCCACAACAGGATAATAATCTCTTTTACTTGGCCTGGAGCCATGATCTCTTCTGGATAATAGCAGCTGGACCCCTGTGCTCCTCCCGCCTTGCCTTTCCCAAATAAACCCTGACACACTCACCCCCTACACACACACACACACACACACACACACACACACACAATGATGTAATTTTATTTTCTGGGGAAAAAAGCCACGAGCTCAGCATGCAAATATAGACAACTAACAAAGCCACACTTAGCTGTCTCCTAGCTCTGTCCCTCTGCCTAGGCCCAGTGTGATAATTCTCACTTCCCCTCCACCTCAGGGACTTTCCTCCCCCACATTCTCAGCCAGACTGAAAGAGGGAAGGGAGAACTGGAGAAGCCTTCGATATTCACTCCATCTCTAGCATAAGGGATCTCAGCTCAACCCCTGGAAGTTCAGGCCTTGAAAAGTATGACCATCCTTCCATGCTTGCATGCCACTAGAATGCCTCGTCTTGCCTCTGTTCTAGCTTAGCAGAGACGCTTCCAGAAGCCTCGGTGAGTTGTTCCTTTCTCAGGACCACACTTCTGGGAGAAGCAGGTCATGTTTCTGCCACTTTAAATTTCACAGGGCTTCTCTTTGCTCTTCTCCCCCAGCGTGGCTGGCCGCTGCCCCTTTGAAGATAACATACCACCAGAATTTGCTTTTGTTCCTAATTCTGTGTCGTAGAGACAAACTCTCTTGTTGACCCATCTTTGAGACTCAGCAACTGCACATGTTGTATTTAAATGAAGCAAATCCGGCAGCAGACACAGAGACTATGAGCTTCCTGCTTACTGTTTCCTCTAAGTTCATCAAGTTCAGTGTCCACCAGCCAATGAGGATGCTGTGCCAATATAAGGTTCTTCCGACAGTCAGAAATATGAAGTCTTTAGGGACCGGTACCAGATAGGTGTTTAAAAAAACAGGAAGTTGTTTAGTGTGGTATCTTTCACTGACCTGTACTAAACAAACCCCATACTTTTATGGTGTAACCTAACACCCAATTATTAGTTATCCATTATGTGTGAACAGGTTGATGGATATTTGGTTTCTGTTCTATACAATATGGCCATTTTCTCTAAGAGCGTTGCCTGGGTAGATTTGTCTGTGGAGAGTGAAAATGTCTATAATCTCAGGGCTCATTTTTCCATACTTAGACATCTACTAACTACACTGGTTTCACAAAAACTAGGGTGAGGCATAACGTGGTATACACTTGCCATATCAAGATTCAGAGTGTTGAAACAAGAGGACTCCCATTTCAGGCTACATAGTGATGCCCTATCTAAAAACAACAATGTCTCTTTATTTAGAAGCTTGTTCAGCAGTTTGGTCCTTCATTCTCCCAACACCTATGTGCTTACTCCCACCTGAACCTATCCTGAGGGTGGGAGTATGTGTGTGTGTGAATCTTTTTCACAAAACTCTTAACAGGTTTAAGTCTGGGGATGCTCTTAGTTCAAAAGTCAATTCCTCTTGGTTGCCATAACCACCACATGGGTCCAGATTCTCCCCAGCTTACTGATCATACAGTTTCTGATTAGGAGTGGGGCTCTTTGCCTTTGCATCACCTCCCCTTCCCAAGTCTATCCTGGTTTTTGCTATTATTAGTTGAAATTTTGCCCTTCTATCCCAGTTCATAGGATTTAGTTCAAACACTTGTACAAACCAACCCCATTACACTTGCCCAATCCCGTGGCCACAACTTGAATTTCTCTTCACTTTTCTGACCTCTGGTTCCGCCAAAATGACAAACACACCCTGCTAATGCTTTCGAGTTTGTTGTTATGTTTCCATTGACTGGAATGTCCCTGTCCCAACTCCTTTGGCTCCCGTCAAATCCCGTTCTTCAGTTGAAGGTCTTGAGAAGGTTTGCTTCCATTGTGGAAGTCACCAAGTTCTTTACACTACCATGGGGGCAATTCTTTATGTACAAGGCCCTATAGAAATAAAGAGAAAGCCTGGGTCCCTGCCTGCAGGACTCAATTTAGTGGCTGTGTAATAGCAGAACAGTAACAGGGTGCAACAAGTATAAGAAGGGAGGTGTAGGTGCATGTACAGAGAAACAGCAGCAGGGACCATGGAAGGAGATGGCAGGACCACCATGGTCTGGAGAGACCCTCACTAAGGAAGAACAGTGGACTCAGTCTTGATGTTCAAATACAGAGCCTCTGGGAGGGCACTGTCAAGCAGCAACACAATCAATTACATATTGCTATGGTATTCTTCAGTTGTTTAGGGTGCTAGTCTTAACTTTCCAGCAAGGCTAGTCAGCTCAAGAGCAGGGACAGGCCTGGCGCTGTCTGTTCCTTCAGAACAACACTGAACAAACACCATGTGTTCAGAAAAGGCTTGTTGACTGGAGGCAGATAAATATCCAGCCCTCCCTGGGATAACTGCTAATCAGCCCCTAGCTCATTCCTAACAAGGCACTCACAGTGAAATCTCCCCTCCGATGGTCACCTCCCTCCTGCCATAAGGGCGAGACTTCGTCAACAACAGACGCTTTCTCATTCTGCCCCAGATCTCTTTATTAAGGCCTTGCATTTGACCCAAATACATTAACAAGAGATGGGTGAGATACATCCCTGAACACAGTACCTCCCTTCCTCCTGGCCTGGATCAGGACAGCCAGAAAGGTTTAAGATTTGAAAAGTGGGAGACTGTGTTGATGGAAGGGACAGAGAAGAGATGGCAAGAGAATCAGAAAGTATGGGGAGGAGAGAATCCGTAGATATGGATAAGGTATAGAATAAGAAACGAGAGAGATGAAAGAACTGGGCTGGTATCTGAGGAGAAGCAGCTCCCTTTCTCATCAGCGGGGGAGACCAGGACCTCAAGCACCCTGTATGTAGACCACAGTGGGCCCTGTAGTAGAGAGTGACCTAGTGTCCCAAGGAGCTTGGGGAAGTGCGTGGATGGTAGGAAGGTACATATGAAGAGCAAGTGGGGCTGGTAGGTGGTTGCCACAGCAACTAGTCATCATCGTCGTCGTCATCATCGTCATCGTCGTCGTCATCATCATCCTCTGTGTTGATTTCTCCCGACAGCACATCTTCTAGCCAGTCTTCCAGCTCCTCAGCAGAAGGCAGGTCCTCCTCATTGTCCATCTCCATCCATATGCTGTCCGCCTAGGTGATGGCACAGGTAGGGGATGGAAGCCAAATTTAATACAGATCTGGACCTCGTCCTCCCGCTCACTGTACATCCTCTGTCCCTTCCGTGGCCAGAGAACCTATCCTGGTGAAGATCAGAGTCAGCATAGTGATGGCCGGAGTGGAAAGAAGAGGTGAACTGGCCACAGACCTCCCTCCCTTCAGTCTGTGTTCCTTCACTGTTGCCATCCTGACCTGCTGAAAGCATGCATCTTTACTGTGTCCATAATACAAAAGCACCGGTGGTTACTCACAGCCAACAGAATAAAGTCAGAGGTGCCAACATTCAAGATTTTTATAAAATGATTTTCTAGTAATAGTCTCAGTGATCTTAAAGTCTGAAACTCTATTTCAAAAAATACTTGCCCATTCCCAAACCTGATGTTCACTTTTTTGCTGTGTTTTTGTTGTTGTGTTGTTGGTTTGTTTGTTTTTCAACCCTTTTTTTTTTTTTGAGATAAGCTCTTGATGAATCACATCTCTAATCTCAGCACTTGGGAGGCAAAGGCAGGTAGATCTCTGATTTCGAGGCCAACCTGGTCTATAGAGTGACTCCCAGGACAGCCAGGGCTGTGTGGACAAAAACCTGTCTCAAAAAACAAAAAATAGGGGGCTGGAGAGATGGCTCAGCGGTTAAGAGCATTGCCTGCTCTTCCAAAGGTCCTGAGTTCAATTCCCAGCAACCACATGGTGGCTTGGAACCATCTGTAATGAGGTCTGGCGCCCTCTTCTGGCCTGCAGGCATACACACAGACAGAATATTGTATACATAATAAATAAATAAATATAAAAACAAAACAAAACAAAACAAAATGTGTACTTGCTTTACAGCCTTGGCTGGCTGGTCTCGTACTCAGCCGTGTAACCCAAGCTGGCTTTGAACTCTCTGCAGTGCTCCAGCCTTTGCCTCTCCTATGCTTAGGTTGCAGGCATGGGCCACCAGGCCTGGCTCTCAGTTTGGAGAGTTTGTCTCCGATTGAAATCCTCTACACTATATAATCTCCACTGTAATGCTGTTTCCTCTTAAACTCTACTCCGAGTCTCTCTAGCAGAAATTCCGGCCTTGCTAGCATTTTATTTCCATTATAAAACTTACCAGAACCAGCCTTACAATTAACAGGATACTTGCCTATTCCATTAGACTGAGAATACTACAAAAGCAAAAGCTGCTCTACTCAGGTCAGCTCAACACATAAGTATCTACTATGTGCTCACCACAAGACGTCTGCCTTCGAAAGGTTCCAAGACTGCTAGAAGAGATAGGATGCTCTAAAGGGAAGTTCTTAATGCCAGTGCTCCCAGGGTACCATAGAGGGGATGATTCCAAAGAGAAACTCAGTGGAGGACAAAGAAATTGAACTGGACTTTGAAGAATGACATAATTCCAGCGAGTGAAAGA